CCCCGGCCCCCAGGGGAGGCCCGCTCAGCCGGCTCTCACCTCTCACCTGGACCGGCTCAGGGTGGGGCAGCTCCTCAGGGTGGGGCCTCGGTGCCAAGGAACCGGTTATGTGGGCACACCGGCCGAGGGAGGACAGCCAGTCCCCCAGACCTGGCCACGGCCGCAGCCTGACCCGCAGCCACCCTGCCCCAGGCAACAGTGACATCCCATGTTGGGATGTGGGGGCACTCGTGACATCACCGTGATGTCACCGCGACTCAGGCCCTCAGTCATGGGGCAGCGATGAGGAGCTTCCACGGCCTGTCATCCTGGAGTCATCCCCCGGGCTGACCAGCAAGTCAGGGTCGGGGCCGCCTCGGGGGGCCTCCTGAGCTCCACGGGGCCCGGGACAGGGTCTTCCCAAAGGCCCTGGTCTCCTCTGCCCACCAGGTGGCTGCCGGTGGAGGAGGCCTAGGCCCAGTGGAGGGGCAGGGGCAGCGCTGGGCAGAGCCCTGGTCAGCAGGCTGGTCACCTGAGCCCGGCCAAGGAGACGGAGACAGGGTCCCCATGGCAGCGGGATGGGCCAGGAGGAGGCAGCTGTGTGCCAGGCGCAGGACAGGCCCGTGTATCCCCTCCCCTCTGGGCTGAGGGCTGACTCAGGGCCTCGCCACCAGCAGACAGGCTGCCCCTTCAGGTCCGGGCACGGCTGGGACACAAGCCTCCTCAGACCACCAGCCTCTGCCCTACTCAGGCCTCTTCGTTCCCCTAGACCGGCCTGGCTCAGCCCCAGACCCAGTCCTGACCTCCCCAGCCAGGCCGGGCACCCAGCCAGGTGCCTGCACTGGGATCCATGTTCAAACCCACTTCCCCTGACCCAGAACCCAGGCCGGCTGCCAGGTGACCTGGCCGAGTCCCCCACCTTCCAAGCTGCCTTTTCGACTCATGGTTGTGATGTCCCATGGCCTGACCCCACCATGGCAATAGTAACTGTTGTGGCCCATTGATGGTCACCTGCACCTCTGCCGGGGGCACAGCCAGGACAGGGCCAGCCTGAGGCGTCCCCCTGGCAGTCAGCATGACACCCTGTGCACATGGCGTCCATCCGCAGATCCATCCGGCTGCTCGGGCCCAGCACTCAGACGCTGCCCAGCCTCAGCGTGAGGCGCTGGAGGGGGTAGGACAGGGGGCAGGACAGGGGGCAGGACAGGGCGCCGGACAGGGGGCAGGACAGGGGCAGGACAGGGTGCAGGTGGCACCCGCAGGTGGGCAGTGTCCTTCCTGGGACCTTAGGGTCAGGTGCCGGGCAAAGGAGAGAGGGACAGGCAGGAAGGGGCAGCCTGAGGTCACTCACAGTCATTTCTGTTTGTCCCACAGCCCAGAGCCATGTCATCACGCCAGCAGGTGTGGCACACGGCCATGCCGCCCCCAAGCC